TGCTCATAAGATTTGGTAGACTTTAAAATTAATTACAAGTTAATAAAATTTCTAACTAATTTTTTTTTAATGTATTAGGTGAAAAAACACCACCTTGAAATGTTGATAAAAATTCGGTATTGATAACAAACTACTTAAGTTATAATCTAATGCTTTGAAAAATTAAGCTTTTATTGTGGCTAAGTGAATTTCTAAGTCGATTTTTTGTTAGAACATGTTTCAAACAGCTTTATTTCCAACTTTAATTTGGCTAATTTTCAAATAGAATCGTTTTTTTTTTTGTTTTTTTTCCGTTGTAATAGTCTTTTTCAATTGTTAAAACGCTTTTTTTCTCTTTTTTAGTTAAAAAAGTATGAAAAATCCCAAATAATAGGTAGTAAAAAATTTAAAGGTCGATTCAAAACTTGCATTTAAATTTGTTTTAAAAAAATCCAAAAAACATTTGAAACCGTTTTTGAAATTATCGATTATTTGTTTAAATCGGTGTGGTAAAAATAATACCTAGGGCTGCGAAAGAGAGCTTAAAAATTTCTTTCGAATTTAAAAATTGTCAGAACAAACTTTTAATTATCATGCCGTAAAAGACAGTTGGAGAATATTAATAATAATAATTAATAATAATAATATTTAGCCAAAAATAATAAAAACAAAAAACTAATTATTAATAAAAACTAACTATTAAAGACAGAGTTGCAACAAATAAAAAATTCTAAGAAAAAAACACTTAAATTTAAAAAATGTCAGTAATTTTTAAAATATCGGTCTACAAAGAAACAAAAAACACCATCTTTGAAAAATTCAGTTAATTACAAATTATTTGTAAAAAAATCAACTTTTTTTCTAACACCAAAGCAAACTCCAAACTATGAGAAGTTTCTAATTTATTTATTTTTCTCCTTTAAAAATTTTTGTCTTTAATATTAGAAATAATTATATGTGAAACACACAAAGTTTTTTTCTCCTTGGGTGCTTATTTACTTTCTTCCCTTGTTAAATGTAGTAAATAAACAAGTATGATGAGATGTAGAAATGAAATACTCAAACTGCCTACTTTATTTTTGAAGATTTTGTATTATTTTTGTCCCATTTCTTAACTTAACTGCAAATGGTAAAAGCAAAGTTAATTTTTAAAAAACACAGTTTTTTTTCTGTTTCTATGTATAAATTAATATAAATAAATTTTTGCTGATTTTAAAATTGACTACAAGT